ATAAACCAGGATCTTACAATTTCATACATCATTTTTTCTTCTCCTCTCTCTCCACCTATTCTTTAACCAATTTTCATCTAGAGGCTATTGTGGGGCAAGCATCATTTGCACTTGGACAGACTCCTTTTTTGTTCTTTGCTTTCTTTTTTTTCTTTTTTTTCTTTTTTTTCCTGCTCTTCTAGAGGCTCTTACTGTGGGGCAAGCATCATTTTAACTTGAAAAGCCTCCATATTTTTTTCTTTTTTTTTCCAATCAATGTCCACTGTAATGTACGCGTGTACATTTTGGGGACATTTATCAAGGCCTCCAGATTTTTTTTCTTTTTTTCTCTTTTTTCCAGTCAATTTACACTGTAATTCACACGCGTAAGTTTTGGGGACATTTATCAAGGTTGGTTAGAATACCAGCCTTCCACCAGATATTTCTTTATAATTTTTATTACAAGATTATCCCTCACAAAATCAGGTGAAACAAATATTGTCATTTGGTCATCTTATTTTATATTCCACTCATTTTCCACCCAAACTTACATTTCTAAATTCATCAATGCCTGTGCCAATGTTTGAGAATACATTCCAGTGGTAAGTACAGATTATTTTAATACAAAGCTCTGAATTTCTGAAGTCATGTGCTATTAAATTTCAAATTTGGGAAGGAATGAGTATACACCCCCTAAGCTGGTAAACCATAATCAGTTAACTTGCCAATTAACTAATATATTTGAACTTGTTTTTTGGAGAAATCCAAACATGCATTTTACAAATTACTCTTTGAAGGAATGCTTCCCAAAAGAATTCATAAAGGTAGGTTTTATTAGGGAATTAAAATGGTATAATAGGTTTTTCAAATTCAGAGTACACCAGACATGGAGGAATGAGGCGTAGAGGTTTTCAAGAATAACAAAGGGTGAGGAAGTGAAATTTGGAACTGAATTTTATTGAGCATCTTTGTGAAGGCATTTAAAATTACTCATCATTTCATTCTTGAATTACGATTACAGATCTGGGCATCATAATTTCTTCAGGAATTATTTGAGTCCAGTCATATTTCTGGCATGAAAGGCTTTCTTGTTTACTCAACATTTAGAAAACAA